GCAGAAATGTTCATAGGTGAAACAATTAGATTATGAGAGCTATAATCTAATCAGTGGTTGGATGAATTTGAAAAATTAATAATTTTAAGGAATTACTGGGTAGTGACTGTAAGTGAGTAGAGAATGATTAGAAGAAATAATTCACTGGGGGTATGACCTTGGGGATTATATTTTGTCCTTGGCTCTTTGCTCTTTCTTCTTTCTTCCTGGAGCTGAGCTTTCCTCCACCATCCTGCTCTGCCATGAAGTTCTACCTCACCCTAGGCAGGGTGATGGAATCTGCCAGGCATGGATGGAGCCTCTGAAACTGTGAGCCCCAAATAATTTTTTGGGCTCTGAGTTGTTCTTGTCAGGTATTTTGGTCACAGTGATGGAAAGGTGACTAACACAGGGTTGTGGACAGCTTGGCCGGAGCTGCTTTGCATGGGAAGACTGCCGGATCCAGGGCTGGGCCCCCATCCAACTCATTATCCAACTCTCACACACCAAGCCAATATTGCCACTGCCATAAATCAACCCAGGACCAGGTACCTGGCAGCTAGGGACAGCCCCTACTATGGAAATTGACCAACCCTAAACTGGTTGCCCTACCTTGACTTTCCTGTAGGAACTTAAACAATGGATTTGGCCTAGGCTCTTCCCACCCTCCTGCTCTGCCCCTTAACTAAACCTGGTTATTCTTCCTCCAGCCTCCTGTGATATGGATGCCCCATGTCTTGGAATGTCAGCAATAACATCTTCTTTCAATGGCATTAGCCTCTCTGTGTCTTCAATCAGTCACCTGCTGAATTAAGACTCAGACATGGAGACTGCTCACAGTTTACTTCAGTTTGTTCCTTTTCTAGTTTTTTAAATAGAATCTGAAGTCATCAATTTGAGTTTTTTTTAATATGTTGAATTTATTGCTCTCAATTTCTCTCTAAACACTGCTTTCATTGAATGCCACAGTACTGGCCTACTGGGTTTTGCATACATCATTCAGGCATAAATACTTTCTAATCTTCCTTTTAATTTTTTTTTTTTTTTTTACTTATGGGTTATTTGGAAGAGTGTTAGTTTTCAAATCCATGAGGATTTCCTAGATATCTCTGTTATTGACTTTTAAATTAATTTCATTATCACAAGAGAATATGCTTTGTTTAATTTGAATTCTTTCAAATATATTGAGTCCTGGATTATGAAGAAGAATATAATATATGTTAGTGGGTATTTTATGGGTATTTAGAATGAATATTTTGTTGTTGTTGGGTAGAATTTTCTATAAATATCAATTATGTCAAATTGACTGATAGTGTTTTTCAAATCTTCCATATCATTGTCAATTATTCAGTTGTTCTATTTGTTATGTCAATCTTCTGAGTGGATATTGAGATCTCTAATTAAAATTGTTGGTTTCTCTAGTTCTTACAGTTCTATTTGCCTTTTTGGGGGAGGGGTGGGGAGTTCCAGGGGTTGAACTCAGACCGCTATCCCCAGCCCTATGTTGTATTTTATTTAGAGTCAGGGTCTCACTGAGTTGCTTAGTGCCTGCTTTTGCTGAGGTTGGCTTTGAACTCGTGGTCCTACTGCCTCAGCCTCCTGAGCCATTGGGATTACAGGCATGCACCACCACATCGGGCATTTGTTTTTGTTTCATATATTTTGAAGCACTGTTAATAGATGCATAAATATTTATTAATGGGAAATTATCTTTTCTCCCTGCTAATGTTCTATACAATAAAAGTCTACTTTGATCATGCCATTCAAGCTATTTATTTATTGTTTTTATTTTTTACTGCAGTGTAGTTGACAAAAGTCATATGAGTTTATGGTGTCCAATGTAGTGTCTTGGAATATGTATACATTGTGAAATGGGTAAACCAAGCTAATTAAATCAAGCTTGCTATTGATTAGTGTCAATGTGGCATATATTTTTTATTTTTAACCTACTTTTGTCCTCGTAGTAAAATGGTGTATGAGTATATGTGTGTGTGTTGTGCACCATATAGTTTTCTATTTCTTTTTTCAGCTTGGCCATCTCTACCTTTCAACTGGAGTCTTCAGACTACTGTGATTATTATTATATAGTATACTTGGGTTTAATTTTAGGATTTTCCTATTTTCTCACTTCTCCCATCAATTGTGTTATTCCTCTTTCTGCTGCCTTTTACCTTACTTGAGAATGTGTATGGCTCATTTTTCATCTGTGTTGGCTAATTAATCACAACTCTTTGTTATATGGTTTTTAAATAACTGCTCTAAGCCTTAGGTATCCATCTTTTAAATTATCACTGTTAACTTTCAAGTGATTCTGTACAATTTGTGAAATATAAGATCCTTAATGCTATACATCCTTGTTTGTATTTTGCCCTCTTATTTCCATATATCTTATTCCTCTATATGGTGTAGACCTCCTAGGACATTTTTTTTTAAGAATTCAGTTCTCTTTAAAGAGATTAGAATAATAGGGAAATTGTTTTATAATGAAGTTAATTATTTTATAACATAGTTAACATTTCTGATGCTATTTATTCCTTTGTGAAGATTGTTTTTTATGATAATATTTCTTTTCTTTCTGAAGGTATATCTTATAGTATAGGTCTACTGGTAATTACTTCTTACAGCTTTAAAAAATCTGAAAAAAAATATTTTTCCTTAATTTTGAAAGACATTTTCAATGGGTTCAGAAGTCTACTTGTCTTTCATCGCTGGAAGGATATTGTTCTTCTATCTCTGACTTGTATTGTTTCTGGAAAGAAGGCTGCAGTGTATTTCTTTGTTCACCTGTAATAACTGCATCCCCTTTTTCTGGATACTTGAAAGATTTTCTCTTTGTTGCTGGTTTTTAGCAATGTGGTTGTTAGGTGTTTGCTGTAGTTTTCTTCATGTTTCCTTTGCTTGAGATTTATTATGATTTGGGGGGCTATGAGTTCATTATTTTCATTAATATCTTGAAAAAAATTCATCTTCAAATATTTTTGTTTCGCCTTTTTCTTTTCTTCAGCAATTCATATTACACATTTTGATGTTGTCCTAAGCTAACTAATGCCACATCTGTTTTGTTCTATTATTTTTCCTTCTGTGATTAACTTTGGATAGTTTGTAATGCTGTGTCTTCCAGTATTACAAGACATAGCATTACTTATTAATCTTTTTTTCTACAATGTCAAAGCTACTATACACCCAGCCAGTGTATTTTTTTTTAGCTCAATATTATAATTTTCCATCTGTAAAAGTGTTTTTAACCTCTTCTGCGCCTTTACTCAGCATGGTTTGTCTTTCCTCTACCATCTCGGACACACGGAGTTCAGGAGAAACACCTATTTCAGTTCCTGTCAATATTAAGTCTATCATCTCTGTTATTTCTGGGTCAGTTTTGGTTGGTTGATTTTTTTTTCCCTTCCTCGTGATTGCATGTTATCGCTTCATTGCATGCCTAACAGTTTTTTAAAACACATTGTTGGGATTTGTTGTTACATATTCCTATATGCACATAATATAACAATATAATTTGGGCAGTATCACTCCCTAGCATTTTTCCCCTCTTGGTCCTTTTCCTCAACTGATCTCCCTTTGATTTTCATGAGATCCATCCCCCACCTTTGTTTTCCTTTATTCCTTTCTAGTTTCTGCATGAGAGAAAGCATAAGACTGTTATCCTTCTGAATTTGACTTATTTCATGCAACATGATTATCTTTAGTACTATCTGTTTTCCTGCAAATGACATAATTTTATTTTCTTTATGGCTAAATAAAATTTCACTCTGTCTATATACCACATTTTTCTTTATGCATTCATCCATCAATGGATACCTAGGCTGATTCCATAGTTTGTCAGTTGTGAATTGTGCTGCTATGAACATGGGTATGCATGAATCACTATGCAAAATGACTTTAATTCTTTAAGATAAATACCAAGGAGGGGTATACCTGGGTAATATGGTGATTCCATGCCTTGTCTTTTGAGGAGACTCCATACTGATTTCCAAAGCAGCTGCACTAATCTATAGTCCCACCAATGATGTAAAAGTGTTCTTTTTTCTCCACAACCTTTCCAGACATTGTAGATTTTACCATGTTGTCTATTTTTCTGTTTATAAATATGTTCATGATCTTTGTTCTGCCGCAGGACTGTTATTTGGAAGTGGTTTTATACTTTCAGGTTTTGCTTTTAAGCTTCATGAGAATCAGAAAAGTATATATTTGAATCCTAATTTTCTCCAACTAGTGAGTCAGAACCTTCTGGGCATTCTACTTGCTGCCCCATGATTAATGAGGTTTCCCCTTAGGGCTGTAATTGTGCTCCTTCTTATCCTTTGGGCATTTTGACTCTAGATCTGGCTTTTTTTTTTTTAAAAAAAAAAATTATACTGATTTATACTTAGCTAAAAACTCCAGGGGACTATCTGGGGTTCTGCAAACACTCTCTGTGTGTGCCACCACAACCATGTGGGCACTTTGAGCTGCAAACTCTTAAGTTACACAGATTCCCAACCCCATCTCTTCCACTCAGAGAGACACTGGACTTTGCCTGTGTTTTCTCTTTGCAGTGTCATAGCCAGGCAGTAATCTGGGCAGTTAACTTTGGATAATTGCTCCCTTCCTTTATTTCAATTTTCCTGAGATCTCTGTGCTGTATTCCTTCCTTCTTGGGGCCTTGAACAGTGTGTTTTATAAATTTTGTTCATTTTTTTAGTTGTTCAATTGGGAAGGTGAATCCATCCTCATTGTTTCATGTTATTCTGAAGTGGCTGTCTCCTCTCCTACATTATTCCTGTTTCTTATATGAACAAAGAAGGAGTAAGAGAGATTAGGTAACGTGCCCAAGGGGACAGTACACAGAACTGAATGTAAATCTTCCAGGCTCCCAAGATGATGTTCTTAAGCATAAGACTGGGAAACTTTTATATGTAGTATGAATCAATGTATTCGATGATTGTTGTGTTTATGTGTGTCTATCACAGTAAGAAACATTGGAAAAATTTCTAATGGAAGTTGCTTCCCCTTTCTCCCTTTCAAAGATGAATGTAAGATACGTGAAGAACCAGTAATTTTAGTTTCATCTGCAAATGAAATTGATGTTCGTGCCTGTCCCCTTAACCCAAATGAAAACATAGGCCCGGTGATTTGGTATAAAAATGACAGCAAGACACCTATATCAACGGAGCAAGACTCCAGGATTCATCAAGAAAAGGATAAACTCTGGCTTGTCCCCGCTAAGGTAGAGGATTCAGGACATTACTACTGCTCAGTAAGGTAAGAGAGTCCTCTGTTACAAACGTGTTCCAAGTACATACAATAGTTGAGGACAGAAAAATCTCTAAATAATTTTTAATTTCCCGGTTTAACTTTATTTTAGAAATTCAACTTTCTGCCTTAAAATTAAAATAACTGCCAAGTTTGTGGAAAATGAACCTAACTTGTGTTACAATACAGAAGCTATATTCACACAGAAATTGCGCATTGCCGGAGATGGAAGACTTGTGTGTCCTCATTTGGATTTTTTTAAAGATGAAAATAATGAGTTTCCCACAGTAAAATGGTATAAGGTAATTTTATTTTAAATATGGCATTTTACTTATCTAGTAGATGAAATAGTTTTCTGTGTTGGACACAAAATGAATCTGCAAAGTGTTTTTTCCATTTCTAGATTGTATTCTTCTGTCGTTGTGAAGGTTAATAGGGAATCTAAAAAGAATCATAAGATTGCATTCATTTAATTTGAAGCTTAACTAAAATCTTACTTATCATTGTATTTATTTAATAGGATATAGTTGAGAAAAGTAACAGGATAAATGAAACCTGTTTAAGGACAAGACGGATTATAAAGTGAGATGTTTAAAAGATTACTATCTATTACAACATATATTACTCCATGTTTTATTTAAAACTAAGTGGTCCTTAAATAACTTGATAGTTTCTGTAACTGTTAGAAAAGTGGCTTGACTAGCATTTCATATCATATTTTGGCACTTTTAACCTACCTCATCTGGTAGAGCTTAATGGGAAATCATCTTTTAGAGGTTAGGAAAAGCAAAATAGTATCAGTGAAGAAAGAGAGCACAGCATTGATAAGAAATTACAGTGTTCACATTCTTTCCTCAAACACATTTTTCTTGCTTAATTAATTTGCCCTTCACTTGTGTTTGTAGCACAAGGCTCCGGCATAAAAAATTTAATGATTTTTGCAAAAAGAAAATTTTTTTAGGTATATTGGGCAAAGTAACTAGTTAATTTTCAATGCTTCTTTTCTCCCTCTTGTCTAGGATTGCAAACCTCTGATTCTTGACAACGTATACTTCGTTGGAGTCACAAATACGCTTATTGTGATGAATGTGTCAGAGGGCCATAGAGGGAAGTACACTTGTCATGCATCCTACATGTACTCGGGAAAGCAATATTATATTACCCGGGCAATAGAATTTATTACTCTAGGTGAGTCATAACTCCAACCCCAGGAGTTTAGATCTAGAGAGGCCCAGACACCATGACTTGAACATTACTTTCGTTGTCTGTAGAGGAACTAAATCTAAGAGAAGGTTGATGACTCCACAAAGGTCCCATGGCTTTAGTTTAGCTTTTTGTTCCTGAATATGTAATGGAAACATTTTTTCATTTTCATTTTAGATGCAGTGATAATTAAACAGAGATGTTATGAGCTAAGTTTTCCAACTGACCTAGGAGCCTTATTGTTTGACATGGCTAAAGATGTTCTTTGGAGAGCTCTGGGGCTCCCCTGGCTGAGAGCCTGTCCTTGAGGAGTCTTTGAGTGTCTCTGAACAAGAATAATTGCCACAAATGAGCCTTGGGATAAGTTATACTCCCAGAACCTACTCCTGTGCGTTCTGTGTTAGCCCAGTCATTTGCCCTCTCTAAGGCTGTTTCCTCTTTCGTAACATGACACCACCTCCCAAGGTCATGGGGAAGCTTAGATTTGAGGATGTGCAGCTTGTGTGCATGTGTCTGATGCAAAGCGGTGTGAAGTGCAACACGGGTGTGCAGCTAATTGTGATTGTTCTTAATTTTCTTTGGGCTTTCAGTTCTGTATTAACCGTGTTTCATATTAAGTTATTTGACAACAAAATGAAGCAAAATGTACTTCTATAGATTACCTAAAAATGGGCAGGACACTCAGGCTTTCTGTAAATGTTGGCTTGGAGAATAGAACAGTTGATCTAACTGGAAGTTTTGCAAGTTAAAGGGTATCTATTATGTAAGAATAACAGGTGTAAGTTGAGACTATCTCAGACAACCCAGAATATGATCACACAACACCCAGCAACATTTTCCTATGATAATTAATTTTTCAAAGATTGATGTTATTGAATCACAATTAATTCCCACAAGCACCACCGAAATCCTAATTTTCAGTGGTCTTTGTATCACAACCACATTTCTGGGTTTTCAACAGCCTTCCTGATTCTTGTGTAGCTCTGATCTCCTTACACAGCAACCAAACCAGGGAGAACTGGCACTAGGAATTTTTCAAAATAGATCCAGTACGTCTTAAATACTCTTCTGTCTCCTTGTCTGATCCCATTTGTAGAAATAATATACTTTACCCAGATGAGTAAATATTTTATTTTTCCTCCAGACGCAACCCAATGAGGCTGAATGCTTTTCATTCATAAATCATATTTTTTGAATATGCGTTGTGTGCCAGGAACTGTTTTAAGAATAGATTAGGAAGCCAACCAACAAGCAATAGACATTATTCTGTCCTGCAGTGGATTACTGGAAATTCGAGTTCATCATTTTTCTCTTGGCCACAGATGAACTCTGAAAGCCAATCGATCTTCCTGTAAAGAAGGCTTAGATCAATTTCTGAGGCTCTTGACAACTTTCTGCCTGTTTTAATAAATTGCACCAAAGTGCTTGACATCGGTCAATAACCACATGCACCCATAAGCACACCACTGTTGGTCATTAGCAGTGTTACTAAATACAAGTAGGCCTGGCACTGCCTACTTCCACTCTCCTCGCCTTTCCTGATTTGCTCTAAGAGAGCATTATCTTGAGTGTCTGGGTTGGCAGGGTCCAGTTTGGTGAGGATGCTCAGGTAGCCGCAGCCTCTGTGGGCTCCCTGTCACCTCCTGTCTCCTGCTGTCTATTCACCATCTGGCCTGGTGTCATTTAGTATGTTTTGCCAAGTGTTGCCATTATTTGTGATTCTCATGTATAAGAGACTGAGAAGCCCTGTGGATGTTTTTTCTTTCAGAGGAAATCAAATCCGACAGTCCTGTGATTGAAAGTCCAGCAAACGGGACCATGGAAGTGGAGCTGGGTGAGTAAGCCCTAGTCGGATGTGCCAAAATCATTCCTGTGAACTCAGATGAAAAGTGGCACGAGTTATATCCTAAGGTGTCCTTATATCTTTGTTTTTTGATTCTTGTGGCAAAAACCTAGCCACATCTGGTTTGCACAGCTCTCCTTTCTCATGAAAACCCGGGCAGAGGCGAAATTCAAATTAAGAACAAGAACTGTCATCATCCATCTACCTGGCACAGGATTTATCACCAGAGCTAAGTTTTAGGCAGAAGGGTAAGACTCCAGGTCAAAAAGATGATAGTTATTCAAGAAAAAATACTTTTGCAAGTTAATGGACCTTTTTTTTTTTAACATCAAGAATAAAGCTACATGTGGCTGTGTACATATAAAATTAAATTAAGCCAATTACTTAATTCAGTTAAATTAAAAACTAGTTCCCCAGCCACATTTGCCTTATTTCAAGGGATTAATAATAACCAGTGACTTATGTTGTTGTAGTCCAGACACAAAAACAGATTCTTGTCTCAGAGGATCAGTTCTCTTCATAGAGTAACTGCAGGAAGGCCATGAACAGTTGTTCAAAAATTAGGAGTTTATAACCTGTGAATTCTGTGCTTTGCCAAGTTTGCCATTCTTAGTGGAAAGTAATAGAAAGAAATTCTTAGATATCAACAAAGATGCAGAGATGACAGTACTCTAAATATAGGCGAATAGAATTTGTGTAGTGTTTCCCATCCTTTGAGTTTCCTTTAAATTATTCTCCTTCAGGGCCTAACCACCCTGCCCCCATCCCTTTCTCTTTTTAGGAATTTCAGTACTGTGCTTGTCTGTTGATGTGCTATGGCCCTTGTAGGGTGACAGAACATACACCTCAGATTTTCTTGCTCCCCTCTCCAAGAACTCCATTTGCTCTGTTGGCCGTAGTCATGCTGAGAAAGTGTGCCCTAGACCTGTAAAATGGAGAGCTCTGAAGTCTAGATTGCATTGATCCCAGATCCAAAAGTAGCTTCATTTTAGGAGATACTTATTTTAATATATCATGTTGTATCAGAGGCACATTTTACCCAGTCATAGGATTATTCTGACAGATATAAAACAGCCATTGATAAGATTCATACCAATTCCCAATAAAATGACTTAAAAAAATGAGATTTGGGGAATATTTCCTTAACTTAATAAATATCATCAATGTGAATCAGTGGTTACCAACATTTTTTTTTTTTTTTGGCACCGAGGATTGAACTCAGGATACTTGACCACTGAACTCCATCCCCAGCCCTATTTTATATTTTGTTTAGAGACAGGGTCTCATTGAGTTGCTTAGTGACTCGCTTTTGCTGAGGCTGGCTTTGAACTCAAGAGCCTCCTGCTCAGCCTCCCCAGACGCTGGGATTATAGGCCTGTGCCACTGTGCCCAGCGGTTCCCAACATTCTTAATGGCAAAGCACTGTAGACATTTTTACTGAAGCCAACAGAAAGACAAAGATGCCTGCCTAGTCAGCATGATTTAACATAGTTCTAAAGTACCAAAAATGTGATTGGAGAAGAAACCAAGAGATGCTTACTATAAGGGGAAAAAAAAAAAGATTTTTTAAATTATTAATTTTAGATCACATAATCATCTATCTGCAAATCCCAAGAGAATTACTGGGAAATTGTAATTATAATTAATATTTTATTTATTAGACATGATAAAATTACCATTCTAAAATATTAGACTTATTTAGCAATAACCAGCTAGAAAATGTAATGGGAAAAGAGATTCCATTTTAATACCAAACGTCTGTAAAAATATATTTTAAAATGTTTTCAAAATGTGTGATGTTTATAAGGGAGGAATAAAACCCCCGAAATATAAAGCTCAGAAAAACTGAGAATTTATGATGGGGGTGGGGTCTTCATAGGGGGAAATTGACTCTTGGGAGTGAAAAAATCTACACCAACAGATAGACTGTATATCTATTAAAATTTTAGAAGGGATGCCTGAGGCTGTAACTTAGTAGTAGAGCACTTGCCTAGCATTCAGGAGGCTCTGGATTTGATCCCAGTCAGCATGCCCCACGGCAGGGGGAGGGAAAGTGGGAAGGAGAGAGATGTAGAGGGACTTAAAAATTTACAGAGAAGGAAACAAATATATATATATATATATATATATATATATATATATATATACACACATATATATATATATATATATATATATATGCAAAATGAAAACCAAAATTGTAATATAGACAAGTATGTTTTTCCTATATGAGAAACTAGAAATTGTAAATGAAAATTCATTCAGATTTAATGGAGAGATTCATTATAGATTTAATGGAGATCTAATAAAAAATGTGAGTGGACTTAAAAATTTTCATATATTCTAAAATTCACTAGGGTGTTAAGATAATATTGGTAAGAAGCAAATACTAAAAAAATGATATTAGCCTTTGCTTTAAAACTTCATTAATTAAAAGAATGTGGTAACCTTGGCATGATTGCACCCATTCAGATTAATTGAGAAAGTTCAAACTAAATGAGTATTTATTTTATGATAAAGGCAGCCTTGTGAAATAGTGAGGAGGAAAATTGTTATCAATCATGGGTCTTTCTGGAATGATGACCAGTATTTGGATAAAAACATTAAGTGAAAACTCTCCCTCAAGCTATAGGAAATTGTATTCAAGATAGATCAAAGAATAAAAATAAAACAATAACAAGGAAATTTTATACACCTAAAAAAATGTACATGGATATTTTCCTGATTTGTTGATAGAAAGCACCTTCTTATTTAAAAATATTTATTTATTCAGGCACTGGAGATTAAACCCAGAAGTGCTCTACCACTGAGCTACATCCCCAGTACTTTTTATTTTTTATTTTGAGATGGGGTCTTGCTAAGTTACCCAGTCTGGCCTTAAATTTGTGATCCTCCTGTCTTAGCTTCCCCAGTTGCTGAGATTACAGGTGTGTGCTATCAAGCCTGGCTAGAGAGGACTTTTAGAAAAACTATAGTGAAACCAGATTAAAAAAAATTTTTTTAATCTGGTTTCACTAATGAAAAATTTCACAAATGAAAAATAAAGAGATCTACATCAAAGAATTCCCATAAGCAATAATAATGTGGAAGCAACCAACTTAGAAAACTACTTAAAACATTTTGTGTGTATTATAAAAAGTTAAAAATCCTCAATGAATATAGAGAACCTGCACATCAGTAATATGAACATGAGATTAAACAATGGTTGGTAGTACAAGTGGACCATGGGGAGAGGAAGGGAAGGAATTTATAATGGGGATGGGGTCTTCATAGGGAATGAGATGGATCAAATTATGTGCATATACAGATACAGTATAATGATTCTCCATATTACATAAAATTTTAATATACCAGTAAAAATAGTAATAATTTAAAAATGGTTGGTATACATAAGGAACAGTTCTTAAAAGAATCCATGAAATACTAAGCTTATGAAAAATGTTAATTCACCATGAGTTCAAGAAATGCAGATGGGCTGGGGGTGTATGTTGCTCAGTGGTAGAGTACTTGCTTAACATGTTAGAGGTCTTGGGTTTGATCCTCAGCACCACAAAAGAGAAGAAAGGCGGTTGGGGGGGGGGGTGGGAAGGAAAGAAAAACCAAATGCAAATGAAAATTTAACTTAAGTGCATTTATTTTCCTCCTTCTCTCCATTGGTAATGATTAAGCAAGACCACATGTTATCCGGGAGTTTGGGGAGAGCAAGCAAATTGGTGCAGACTCCCTTAAGAGAGGAAGTCTGGCCCTTTAATTCAATTCTACTTCCTTATTTTTATTCAGGGTAATATTTCAGGACATGTACAAACACTGATATATAAACAAGGATAGTCTCTGGAATAATAATCATATTAATAAAGAGTTAGAAACAAATTATGTTGAGCAATAGGAAATTATTAGAGGCTATTTATAGTATTAAATACTAAGAAGCCACAAAACAGTCTATTTTGGAGGACTAATCATGGAGCCTGAAATTCCCAGTCCACAATAATTACAAAATAGTGGACAATAAAGTCAATAAAGTCTTTATAAAAATTACTTATGTGCACAGAGAAGATAAGGAATGAGACACACAGAGTTATTAATCGTGGGTATCTCTGGGTGGTAAGTTTAAGTCAATTTTCCACTGTGCTTTTCTAGCATTTAAAATTTTTGTTCCATAGCCATTTGCTAAAATAGATCAAAACCCACTTCATCTTATGATTAATAATATATTGCTTTGCAGGATCCCACGTCCAACTGGTCTGTAATGTCACTGGCCACCTCACTGACCTTGTCTACTGGAAGTGGAATGGGTCACCAATTTTACCTGATGATCCAATCTTGGTCGAAGACTTTGAATTGTGAGTGTGTCAATCGATGTTATGTTAAAGTGTGTGTCGTATTTTTATATATAACCTTGACAGTTTAATATTTAAGATTAGTTGGAAGTTGATTGTTCTTAATCCTTTGCTGCCCATTTTGAGTTTCGCTAAGTAAGCTAAACAGATTTGTACGATTTGTACTTTTAAGGTAAAAAAATACATGTCATTATGATGTAAACTCTGGACAACTTAGAAGCCTTTCTCTTAAATTCAGTTATACATGTTGCAACATTCCAAAGAAGCAAGTATTCTGAGTTACTCTTCCTATTTTTTTAAGTAGTTTAGAAAAGACTAAGTGGAGTCAAGAAGCAGACACTCTACTTCCAAGTCTCTATTGGCTTCCCATTATCCCTTCCATTATCATTGTCTTCGAAGCACTTTATCACCTGCCCCAGATGAGTGTTGTTTAATGAACAAACTATTCTTGTTTTATGCTTCTCTGTGCCCCATGGATACCAAAATGCTTAGCTTATATTTTTCCTTTTGGAAGCAGGTAATTTTAACTTGATGTCTTTGTTACTGAGTCTCACACGGGTATTGCCAGCAGTCTGCTGAGACAGTGGTTGGTGATTATTTCAGCTGCAGTTTATGTTACAAATAAAGAAATAAACCAGACATGCATCCTTATGTGTAGTCGGTACAATTTATTTACACAATTTTATTTATCCTCTCTCTTGAACAGGATGAACAGTCCTTCAGCCAATAGAAAAACTATACACATTATAACGCTTAATATTTCAAAAGTCAAAAGTCAATTTTATCTATATCCATTTACCTGTTTGGTCAACAGTAAATCTAATATATATTCAGCATACATACGATTAACCCTTCCAGGTAAACAACAGACTTATTTATTTGAAATGCGATCTTTTGTTGCTTCTGTTCTCATAAAAATCTAAGACCTTGAGTTTCCAATGCTGTTTTCCCCTGCCTGGAACTGTCTTCATCTTCTCTTCAGCTGAGCAACTTCTTCCTCTTTATTTCTCAGCTGAGCTATCTGTTCTTATAGGAAGCTTTTCTCATCTGACGTCTGCCCTTAATCTAGTTCTCTGCCGAAGCAGATGAGTTTAGTATGATTTCAGTGTATGTCTAAATACAAACAACATACAAAGGTAAACCAAATTTAAAAGATAACCTTTACAGTAGTTTCAAAAAAAATAATCAAATACTTAAGAATAAACATAGCAAAAGCTATTCAATCCTCTGTGAAACAATTTAAAAACATATCATTGAGATTGTTATCAGGGATCAGATAGATGTAGGGATATACAATGTTCATAGATTGAAAGACTCAATGTTATTTCTCCCAAAATGAATTTATAGATTAAAAATCATTCCAATCAAAATTTCAGCAGTATTTGCATAAGTTAAGTTAGTGTTTGTGTTATGGTGACAGATGGATTTAGTCTAAAAGTCATATGAAAGTGTAAATGACCAAGAATAATAAAGATGGGGGCTGGGGTTGTAGCTCAGTGATAGAGCACTTGCCTTAGCATGTGTGAGGCACTGAGTTCAATCATCAGCACCACATAAAATAAATAAATAAAATAAAGGTATTGTGTCCATCCACAAATAAAAAAAAATTGCTATATGCAGAGTTATGTTTTAGATTTAATTATTTAAAAAAAGAATAATAAAGATGGTCTTAAATACAAATGACAAATCTGGAGTATTTATACAACAGACATCATGATCTTGTATGAAGTTACATTAAGGAGGACTATAAATGCGAACTATCCATTGGGTCAGTTGGGACCTTAACCTGGAAAATGCTGTATCTTGATTTCTACTTTGTACCAAAATCAATCCCAGATGGATCAAAGATCTAACTTGGAAAAGTAAAACAATATAACTTTTAGATACTCTTTTAGAGGATTCTCTTATAACTTTAAGATTCTCTTTTCTGGGTTCCCACAATGAAGGCACTTTCTTCTTTTAGTTTTTAAATTTTGATTCTTCAGTGTTCTCCCCCTTAGCTTCCCACTTCTTACCCCTCTCATTCCTCTTCTGTAATCATTGGATGAGTAATTAGAACAAGGCCAGGAGAATGTAGAAATGTGAAAAGACTCCATAAACCTCCTTTTTTTTTTTTTTCCTCCCAGCTTTTGGCTTTTCCAAAACTGACTTTTGTATTTCAGGGACCTTTTATAGGCTGTTGAGTGATGCTCTTTGTAAAGCTATAAAGTACTCTATTCTATTTTTTTCTATTTTTTTTCATTGTATATTATGCTATTTACCTGGAAACTTAATAGAATGAACCTTAGTTTTAGGTAGTTTCCATGTCACATTTCTTTGCATAGTATTCATTTTTAGTGATAACAATGAATGAGTTAATACTATCCAAATACAAAGACAATCCCAAATATGTTTTGCTACAATGAAAATGTTTGATTTGTTATACCCAAATTTTTAATTCTTTTTGGTTCTAATACTTTTTTCCCCTCCTCTTTTCTACTGTAGTGCCTGATTTCCAGAAGCTCTTGATTGGAATATTTATTACATTAACAATTATAATTACATGCTCTGTTTTCATCTATAAAATCTTCAAGGTTGATATTGTGCTTTGGTACAGGGATTCCTGCTCTGATTTTCTTCCCCCCAAAGGTATAATTTTTGCATTCTTTGAAGTATTTTCTCATTGAAGAGGGCATAGTTAGGAGAGGTAGAAGATGACTAATAGGAATTTTACTGAAGGTTCAAAATGATATGTGGTAGCATGTACAAGAATAGTAGTTATTCTTATGGATATTTCTTGTTTCACAACTGACTAGGCCGAATGCCTTATTACTTTAGTTATTCCTTTAGCATTTATATGATGGGATAAGTAGGTATTTAGAACATCTGTCAATAAATTCAGTCAATGACGTGCTTTATGCTGTGTAGGAACATACATCACTTCAAAATTCACTTTGAAAAGAAAGAAATGACTAGATTTTCACAAATCAGAGAGACTTGCAAAAAATACTACAATAATATATATATAACACATAAAATACTACATATATATATATATATATATATATATATATATATATATATATAAAATTAAGAATAGATAGAATTCTGGGATGAGACATTTGGGGAAGAATATAAAAACAAGGAGCTGTGAATATTTCTATACCAAATGTACAAAAATTGGCCAATAAATGCAATATAAGAACAGTTTTGTAGTAAAGCACAATGAATAGGAAACTCCTAAGAGATGAATACTTAAAAAAGTATTGGTTCTAAATGCACTACATTTCTTCATTTTTCCTTTAGCCTCAGATGGAAAGATCTACGATGCATATATCCTCTATCCAAAGACCTTTGGGGAAGGGTCCACCTCGAACTCAGATATTTTTGTGTTTAAAGTGTTGCCTGAGGTCTTGGAAAAACAGTTGGGATATAAACTGTTTATTTATGGAAGGGATGATTATGTTGGAGAAGGTATGTATATAATGCAAAAGAATAAAAGGTTGACTGTTGTGAAACTAGTTGCTAAATCTGGGACCTATCTTTCTAGAGGTCTCAACCCAGGTGTACATATATTACAATTTTAAGAATCTCTTCAGACATGTATGATGGTGATTTTCACATTTATTAAATGTATTCACTTCTCCCAGAGTTTATAAGATCAATAATTAATTGATATTTATTGTTTTGGAAAACACATTGACTCATTAGACCTCGTAATTAATTTTACAACGGACATGATAATATAGGAGTGGTGTAGATCAAATGATTTAACAAGAAACTTTTAAAATTTTGACTTAAAGTTTTCTGAGTTCTAAGTGAATATCCAAGTTTTGTAGGCCAGTTTATAAGTGGGTATATAAAATGGGAAAGACTTCTAATCTTAAGTAAGGCAAGAAAAAAAAAACTTTAGGAGCTATAGGGACGGAGTGGGAAGAAACTTGTAAGGTTTCGCTTCCAGAGAAAATGATTATAAATAGTAATCTGACTGTCTGTACTGGGCTTCATGTTTTTTAGATGCTATTGAGGTCACTAATGAAAACATCAAGAAAAGCAGAAGACTTATCATCATTTTGGTGACAGACATGTCAGACTTCAGCTGGCTGGGCCATTCATCTGAAGAGCAAATAGTGATATATAATGCTCTCATCCAGGAGGGGATTAAAGTTGTCCTGCTTGAGCTGGAAAAAATCCAAGACTATGAGAAAATGCCAGAATCCATTAAATTCATTAAGCAGAAACATGGGGCTATCTGCTGGTCAGGGGACTTCAGAGAGGGACCTCAGTCTCTAAAGACCAGGTTCTGGAAACAGGTCCGGTACCATATGCCAGCCCAGCGGCGATCTCCTTCATCCAAACACCGGTTATTGTCCATGGCCCATGAGTCAGACTCTAAGGAGAAGCATCAAAGGGAGGTTCACCTGCCTCTCGGGTAGCATGGAGAAGCTTGGCCAAGAATCTTTTGGGTGCATGCAGTCTTAGGGTGTTGAGCCTCCTGCTGACCTAAATCTCTGAGGTCACCTGGAATCACACAGTTAAGGGAGCAGGACTTGGTGACAATGGCAGGCCAGGGCAACTCAGATTAGAGGGCTTGGGAAAGCCTTTATAAAGGCCCTCTCTGAATGTTGAACTTCTGAGAAAAAGGCACTGAGACAGTGAGTTGGAAGAAGAAAAAAGAAAAAAACATGAAAGGAATGTTCACCATCTATAGACAATTTTATTAAGTTATCCACAGACTGATGGTGGGGCTTTGGCCATCTCTGGGGATGCTGCAGGATCACTGGCCCCGGGGAGAGCCTCTTCTGGGCAGCACTGCAGATGAAGTGTGCCTGACACCTCACAGAGGAAGGTAGATGTCTTCTTGGAGAACTTTCCATGGCTTGCATTTTCCATACACATCCACAATGAGTTGTCACTTTCCAAAGACCAGATTGCATTTTATAGACCTTGAGAAGTATCATTAAAATGAAAAAGGGGGTTCTCCAGGATTCCAAGGCTGTGAAACCCCCTTAGCTTTCTTTAGAAGACAAAGACTTGTGAAAGCAACAGAAGCAGAAATTGACCCACCTCTTCCACCACTCTTTATTCTTTCCTCCTTGGAATGACTGACCTGAACTTCCACATTCGTCTTCACTTTACTTGGCTCATTGCTTCTTTGGAAAGACAGCTGTGCTTGTCACCCCACCCCGAGTCTCCCAGCCTGTTTTCAAAGCCATCCCCTCACCGTCCTGTGATGTGAGTCCCAGGTTAGCCTCCTGGGCCTCTGCACCTGCTCCAGCGCCTCCATGTTTGCTGAACTTTCTCCTTCCCTTACTGGAAATCCTTCTTGCATTTTCTCCAGATGACCAGCTCTCCAAAGTCAGAGTTGACTTCAGCACTCTGGTTCCTGGGAGCCTTCCCCTAAGACATTGTCACCCTTACAACTCTGTCTGTCCCTCCAGTCAGTTAGCTAGTGCTGCCTGTTGCTGGTCCCCTTACAAAGTGGCTCCCCTCGCCGGAATCTGTGCTGAGGAGAGACCATATGTCTCTCTCTGTCCCTTGCTACCTTCCATAAGCAATTTGCACATGTGAAATACATTTGTATAGTGCTTTATTTTTTTAAAAAAATGTTTTTGGGTAATTATACCTAATTTTTGCAATTATTCTAATTTTATGTAGAGAGAAAATGACTCTTTTTAAAATTACTCTCTTAATTCTATTGGATCTGGAAGTTGAACCTGTATTTTCCTGGCTTCTAGTCCAATGTTCGAATGCTTGCTTTCAAGTCATTAACTGTTCACCCATCACGGATTGCTTTACAGGAGACTACTGAGTCCAGGAGTATTTTTACATTACAAACAGATTTGATAATTTTCAGGGTTGGAATTTATAAAAATTATGTTTAGGTTTTTATGCACAATATTTTTATTTCCATATGTTCTTTCCTTAAAGGTCAGCATTTCTCAGCCAATTAAAAATGAAAGCAAAGAATGTTTGTTTTTTTTTTTTTTGGTACAGAAAAAATGTTTCAAAATTTGCTCAGAGGTCTTACGATAATTAGAGCAACTCTGGAAAATCACAAAGCCAAGTTCACGTGACACACACGTGGTTTTCAAAGTTGAATGAACAAGGGCAGGTCTTCTTTTTTTCATATTTTTTGACTACCTAATTATTATGGGTGAAGACAAACGCTTATTTGGAAGGATATTTTTCCCCCTGAAGCAGTCAGAACTAGACAAAACCAAACAGAGTTTAATATTTTTGACTCTTCCTTTTCTACCTGTATTCTCCTGGGTCTGATCCATAGCACTGAACAATAGTGCTGCCTTGGGAACTGATATTTTAAAAGAATTGGGCTCTGTTTCTTTGGCTGCACACAGAGAGCAGGATGTCTCATGAGGTAGAGAGGTGTCATGACTCCCAAGGTCTGCTAGATACTTTAGAAGTTCTGCTGATGATTTTTATCTGTCATCTAGCATATATCGTGCCAAGAAAGCAAGCCAGTTCTGAAACTTAGAATTAGCTAAGGGGTGAGGGTGGGGACAAAATTGGCCATAAAGCAGAGTGTGAGGGTGGAGACAGCCAAGAATTACAAGTAGCTTAGTACTTAGAATTTAGACAGGAACAAGAATCTCAGACAGGAACGCACAGTGTCAGTCCCCAACTCTCCCGGGAGGATCCCAGAGGATGAAGCCACATTCCTGATCCCTGTGACCTGCCCTTGGATTGTTGTCTTCTCTACCAAACACTTTTTAAAGCTCTTCTTTTCATGCTTTCCCCATTAGTTAAATCTTACTGCACTTTTCAGTGGTTTGTTTTTAAGTCAGTCTGAGTGCTGAAGAAAAGTCTGTAAATGCAACAAAATATTTAATTACCAGTGGTTAAAACTGATTTAGCAGAATCCATATTTTCCCCTCCCCTTTCTTTTTGATTTCACTTGCAATGAAAGCCAAGGTATTGAGCCATTTTTAATGACATTTTTGATAAATTATGTTTGTGCTGGTTAATGAAGGGTTTTATTTTTTGTAAATTGTTTGTATAATTCTGCAGCAGATGCCAAGTATTTTTATATCTTAAAACACCAAGTTTATGTATAGTGTGCATCATTGATCAATAGACTGTACTTGTTTTCCAATAAAATTGTTAAACTTTGTACTGAATATTATTGAAAATCTGTTTCTCTGCCTGCCCTTTCCACAGCGTACCTGCACACTCCCAGACCTGATGTAGAGTGAGCACGCCTTCTTCAGAGAGACCTTCTGGGGGTGGTGGGCCATGAGAAGGGGGATGGAGTTCAGAGGTCGTTGGCCATACATTGAGCCCTGACCTCTGCTGCATTGTGTAGCCTCATTTGTACCCAGTTTGCTTACTTCTAAAGTAGATTAAAATATGAGTCTTATTATTAAACTTTTGCTTATCCAAAAATTGACAATGGCAACATTTGTATGAACATTTTAACATTTTACACAAGGTCTCTATTTATATTCTGTGACACAGGAGTTGGACAAAATTGGCTAGCTAGGAGTCCAAAATGCATGTGCTGAAGCTTATAAACTCTGATGATTAGAGCTCATTCCCATCCGGTCAGTACCTCCCCGTTCTTAAACTTCCCTGCACTTCCAAGGAGCAGGTGGTTCTGTCAGTACCTGGGGAGAAATGGAAGGTGCCAGGTGGACCTAGAGTCTCGGACTCCACTGGAAATGCTACCTCCATCTACCTGGTGTGAAGCCTTAGATAAACTATTTGAACCCTGTTTCTTTGCCTATAAAATGGTTACAATTCCTAATTCATAGAGTTGCATAAGGATTGAAAGATTAAGTGGATTACAAGAGGCACAGTGCCTAGCATGAAGTAGGACCTTAGGAAATGGTGGCTTTTTTTAGTAGCTATTCTATGAACTAACTTGGTTCTCTTGAGTCCTATTAAAAAGGATTTATAAACAAGATGTGGCAATGGACCCTAAGAGGTACTAAAAATAAGGACAAAGGACACATTGAATTATTTTGCAATGCTGAGATCTGGAGCCCTGCCCAGACCACAGCCCCAAATGCGAAAGGATATTTAGTGGTCTAAATATAAACAGATTTAACATACTTCTGAGTGATGTTTCAATAAATCCCTCAATAAAAATCAACAATGCAGAAACTTATAAAAGTTTAGGAAGCAGATATCTGGTAAGTTTGCCTATCCTGAATTTCTCACCAATATAATTCAGAGAGCTTTCCATCATTTTTTGTTCTTTAACCAGTTAATGTTTTTTAGCAAATTTTTAGGAAAAAACTAACAATCATTTAAAGAGTCATATTTCCCCCTTTCTTTATCAGATAATTTTTTTTTTGTGAGTAAATGGAAAATAGCTTTTGGTGGTGGTGGGGGGGTGAGGCGCTAGGGGAAATCTTCCAGAATTCATTCATTCTTTTTTTTAAAAAATTATTACTTTAATGTTAAATTATTTTATGATATCAACACAGTGCATAATCATTATAGATAAATTATAAAATAATAACAATAGTGAAAATGTCCATAACCCCATTCACTGACACATCCATTGCTATTTCGATGGTGCTCACCTTTCCAGATGTATTTTTTATATTAAAATTTAAAAATTTTTTTCTAATTAGTTAAACATGACAGCAGAATGCATTTTGTTTCATTGCACACAAATGGAGCATAGCTCTTCATTTCTCTGGTTGTACATGATGTAGAATCACACCATTTGTGCAATCATACATGTACCCAGGGTAATGATGTCCATCTCATTCCATCATTACCTACCCCTATGCCCCCTCCCCACTTCCCCTCCATTTCCACAATCCAAAGTTCCTCCATTCTTCCCACGCCCCTCCCCACCATTATGGATCAGCATCCACTTATCAGAGAGAACATTCGGCCTTTGGGGTTTTGGGATTGGCTTACTCCACTTAGCAGGATGTTCTCCAACTCTATCCATTTACCTGCAAAAGCTATAATTTTATTCTCTTTCTGAATTATTTCTTGAAAGGAATCCCATCTGATGAAAGAGACATGAATTATAAATTCCCGAATTGTCTCAATTTTGAAACTAGGGCAAAGCACCTAATTGTGTAACACGGAGTGTGGATGTCAGGTGGGTTCTTTGTCTCAGGAATTTGAAGAATGAAATCCAGGGACACAAGGGTGAGAGCAAAGTAAAAGGATTTATCAGAGGGAGGGAAGGGAAGGGAAGGGAAGGGAAGGGGAGGGGAGGGGAGGGGAGGGGAGGGCTCCTGAAGAGGGAGGGGTCCCAAGAGGAGGATACCAACGAGTGTCTGTTGTCTAGGGAGTTTTAAAGGCATACCTGATGGCTGAGCACAGGTGATTGGTGGGAACTATTTTAATGAGGAATGCCAGCTTGGACCTATCAAGCTCTTTAGGCTCTGGGTTTAATAAGCCAATCAGGAGTGCACAATCTTAATACCTTATTTACACAATTAAGAGGATGGGTCCAATCTTGTGTTTTGGGACGTCTTTTGGAGAAGAGAGAGTGCTACAGAATGGGGTAGATTTATTGATTAGCTTTTGCTAAGGGTAGGAATCGCTAAGAAAGAGATATTATGGTTGAAGCGGCTAGGAACAGTAACAGGTGTTAAGGAGCCTTTGCAGTTGGAGCTGTCAGGGGCAGCAAGTAACAGAATGTCCTCCAGACCTGATGTCTCCTTGCAAAATGGCATGATGTTCTCTTGCCCTCCTCCCATCCTGAGACCCTTCTCCTGTCAGCCTATAGGAGGTCTACCTTCCCACCTCATCCCCCTCAATTGCTTTGAATCCAGTTTTTTCATCTGTAAAACTGTACTTCCTGTTTTATAAGGTGTTACTATGTAGAAAATCTCCATCCAGTACCTGGGATAGAATCTCAAAATATATTTCCTTAATTTTACCATTGGATGAGTACAGATAAAATGAAAAGTTCTTCTTTTACTAAAATGAAATAAACAAATGCACCACTACAATAGCAAGAATTCATAAAATAAAAAAGAGTGCACTTAAAAATGTACATGGGGGAAACACATGAAAGGAAATTTAATGGAATGTAATAACATTTTATAAACAAAGTATGAAAGCCCGTGCCTCTGTGTGTGTGTGAACATTATGGAGAGTAAGAATTACAGAAAATAGGTGGTTATGAGTAAAGCCAAAACTTGCTCATCTTAATACGTGTTGCTCAGGGTTCTTCTGAGTTGGGTTGGCTGATTCAGGTACATAAATCCTGTATGTTCACTTTAAATCTGAACCCCAGTCTCTAACTCAGCAGTCTCTAAAATTTGCAGCCGTTAGACCAGTTGAACCGGTATCTCCTGAATCTGGGCTCTTGTGATCCTGTTGACTTCTCTAGTGCTGTGCTTAACCAATTGGGAAGTTAATTTAATCACAAAGGGAAAGTCTTTGAAGTTTATCTGTCTTAGAACTTTTTTTTTTTGCGGGGGTGGGGTGGGGTGGGGTGGTAGGATTGAACTCAGGGGCACTCAACCACTGAGCCACATCCCCAGCTCTATTTGTATTTTATTTAGAGACAAGGTCTCACTGAGTTGCTTAGTGCCTCTCTTTGCTGAGGCTGGCTTTGAGCTTGCTATCCTCCTGCCTCAGTCTCCTGAGCCTCTGGGGTTACAGGAGTGCACTACCACGCCTGTCTTGTCTTAGAACATTTGACTTGGAAGTGAGCCTAAGTGTCACTGGGTTTGGCTTCCGGGTCTGGGAAGGGCTTCACTGATAACCATTCCTATGGTGTTCACTGTTTTTTTCTTAATTTAACCGTCCTGGGCATAGATTCCTCAGACTTTGTTAGTGAGAGGGCATTGCATGTTTCCCAGCTCATGTGGGAATCCACTTCTCTTTTGCCTGTGTGGTTCATTCTGCCTGCCCACAACTCCACTTTCTCTCCTCAGCCATCTTATTTGGTTATCCTATTATTTTGAGCCAGCCCTGGCTTCTCGTTTGCCTTAAGGCTATGGATGGAGACCATCATTTTTTGCTTGTTTCTTTGTTTTGTTAACACTTTTCATTGTTAAATGATATCCCTCATTCTACTTACTTGTTTCTGAATTCTTGTGTTTCTTAAAACCAGACCCCATGACCTTCCCCAAATTCCAAGGGGGAAACATGTTTGCTCTCAAGCTTACATTTATTAGTGCTAACCATGTGCCAAACCAAAGGGTGAAGAGAAAGTTGTTATTATAAAAGATCTTAAATCCCTGACCAAAGTATTTTGGACATATCCTTTGGAGTAGGTGTGTGGGCACTATTGGGGACTATTGGTTAGGAGAATGTCAGGCACAGAGAAACAAGTTCACTGGGAACTGTTGTGAGTTCAGAAGCAGTAAAAGATGCAGGAGAGGAAGTCTGTCAGGAACTTGGTGTGGTAAGTCCTCTGTGAGCTGATTGTATTAGATTAATATTTTATTTATGGAATTAGGTACGTTGATCTCCCTTTTATCTATTTCCTTTTGCTAGCTATTATATCTGTGAGATTTATTTATTGTTGTCTGTGTTAGCACGTTTCTCATGCCCGGATGCTATCCCATTGTGTGACTCTACACATCTGTTTTATCCCTTCTATTATTCATGGACATTTGAGTACTTTCTTGTTTCTGACTATCTTGAATACTGAGGCTAAGAACATGCTGGCAACTACCTCTTTTGGTGACCATCTGTAGGGGTTCTCATTTGGGGTAGCCCTCAAGTGGATTTGCTAAGTTAGCTTCAGCCGAGTTCACCACATGGTTTTCCTAAGTGGTTGTGCCCATTCATGCTCAGCCAGTGGTGGAGAGTGAGTTGTTCCACATCCTCACTAACACTTGGTGTCCTCAATCTTTCTAATTTTAGCCATTTTGGTGGGGTCTAGTGGTAACAATAACATTTTAAAATGTACAGAAGATTAATCTTTTTCTGCTTTACATCTTCTAATAGCTTTTAATTTTACTTAGAATAAAACCCATTTTTTTTTTTTATTTTGGCTACCTGCCCCTGTATCATCTAGCATCTGCCTATATCCATGACTACATTTTTTGCCCCCCACCACCCATTTGCTATAAGCTGGTCACACTGGTTCAGTTTGGAAATTCCCAAACTCTTTCCTCCTTTAGTGATTTTGTACTGGTTCTTCCTTCTATGGGGAGAGCTCTTCCCCCAGATACGTACTTGGTGG